GTTTGTAATTTTTTTTTTTGAACTTTTAAAATTGCTTTTTATGGGAATAAACATTGTATTGATGGTGTTTGATTAAAACTGAGAAATTATTATCATTATCATAAATGTTGTTTGGATGCTTAGCATATATAATAACTGAAATTTTGTTTTGTAGCATAGTACTACCATTTTTAGAATATTAACCAATCGGGCAATTGATTTATCATTTAAACATAACTTCAAAAGATACAATACAAAACATGTTTAATCCAACTTCAAAAATACAAAATACAATTTGATATTTCATTCAACTTTAAAAATACAATATAATTCGATGTTTCATTTAACTTAAAAAATACAATACATTTTGATGTTTCATCCAACTTCAAAAATACAATACAATTCGATGTTCATCCAACTTCAAAATACAATACATTAATTTCAATGTTTCATCCAACTTTAAAATACAATACAAATGAATTTTTCATCCAACTTCAAAATTACAATTCATTCAATGTTTCATCCAACTTTAAAATTCAATATCAAAAAGAGGCTTACATAGCCAACCAACTTCAAAATGCATATCAAAAGATTATGTTTAAGGTCCAAATTCATTGATTAACAGGATACAAGAATCCAAACACATATGATCTTCTCGTGTGAATTGACAACACAAACAAGACTATATTAAATCCTCAAAACACATTTATAGGTTATTTTTAAAATACATCAACAAGAAGAGCGCAAAAGTGGTGTATGGTAACTATGGATTACTCTATAATATTGTTTTTTCCTTTATGTTAAATCATCTAAACTTCACTTTTTTAAATTTTTATAGGAATAGACCAACAGAAGGCAAACTTGATGATCCACAACAAATAAAATGGTTTATGCATAATATACAATAAATATGTTGATGCCTAAATATAACATAAAACACCAACATAAAATGTGTTCATTAGAATAAAAATATACGCTACTAGAAAAATGAGTATTTACGGCGGACGGAATCCGCCAAAAATATACCGGCGGACGGAATCCGCCAGAAATATACCGGCGAATTTCCAGCGGATTTCCGTGAGCCATAAAAAAAGTCAACTTCTATTGACTTCCGCTTGAAATATTAGTCTGGTAATATTTCTGGCGGATTTCCGACGGATTTCTTAATTAATTATATTAGACTTGTATTTTACTTTAATCAAAATAACTTACCAGCGGATTTCCGGCGGAAATTTATTAATGTTTTAAAATTATTATCTGCCGGAAATCCGCCGGAAATCTTTTCAAAATTAAAAATATTTTTAACATTTTCTGGCGGATAATTAATTAATCTTTTAAAATTATTATCCGCCGGAAATCCGCCGGAAATTTATTTGAAATTAAAAATTATTTGAAAATTATTTTAACATTTTCCGACGGATATTTAATTAATCTTTTAAAATTTTTATACGCCAGAAATTTATTTGAAATTAAAAATTATTTTAACATTTTCCGGCGGAAGCCGGAGGGCCGCCGGTATTCCGCTGGTAACGTTTATCCATGATTTAATAAAAAAAAAGCAAATTCCTTTACCGGCGGATTTTCGACGGACATTTTCGACGGATATTTTTTTTTTTCACATTTTTCAAACTTTTCTTTTCTTAATGGACCGTATTGGGTTTTAACGGTTTTATTAGGCTTGAACGAATGTTAGTTCGGTTTTAATGGATCGTATTGGTCGCCGAAAAAGTTGCCCTGTTTGGTAGTGATAGCATGACACAAATGATAAAAAATCTCCCTAAAAATGTAAACGTAATCCAAGTAAAAATTCAAATGTGTTGAAGAGAATATAATCCAAGAAGCAGAGATTTTTTTTAACCCCACGAAGAACACCAACTGAGCTTATTCTCAAACAAAGGTATTGTATCTTCTTTAGCAAGTCTTTAATCTCTTGCACCTTTATTTATTTTTGGAAAAACTAGAATAGCATAGTATTAACTATATATATAAAATACAAATCAAATGCAACTTTTGTAAATGTCATAACTGTTGCACTCCTTTATATTTCAATCTCGATTATTGATCTTACCTTTTTCAAGGATTTTATTTTTATTTACTTAATTACTAAAAGGGGAAATATGTCTTTTATTTTTTTAAATCTTTATATCAAAGGAACAATTATTCCTATTTTAGTGGACGATTTCATTGATTTTAATTTGTTAAATTTAGGAAATTATTTTCATACGAGTATATGTTTTGTTCACATTGCATTGTCGTCTTATATGTTTAAGATGAATCATACTTCATATGTATGCATTTCAAATTTCATATTACAAGAATCCTAATTTCTTTTTATTTCATACCATATGAATCTAAATTTCATACAACATAATTCTGCATCACTAATGAATGCATTTCAAGTTTCACAGAATACCAATTTCTCTTGATTAGAATCCCAACTAAAAACACAGAATACTAAATTCATATGAGTATCACTTAAAAACTTTGTTACTCTCCCTACGCCAAAAATGCATATGCATATCATCTCCATAGCCATAACACTTTTTGTTCAGATACACTTTTCTAGTCATCTTATACATTTCATATGAATCATATATTCATATGAAAACAAAGGTATTTTCATTGCATGCATCTAAATTTTATATAAAACACCTCGCCAATTTGGCAACTATGTCCCTTAAATTTCTCTACATAATACTTTCCTTTCAACAAGCCTCTTGTGCATTTCCGATTCTATGCTCCATATTATGTTCAATATTTCGCGTGTGCCCTTCTCAAGTTAATTTAATAACCAAAATGCCCTAATTTCTTTCCCAGCCGTTGATCATTTGGATGTGTGGTTAAGATTGGGTTGCATCGGTTGCAACTTTTACAAGGGTTGCATTTGATGGCATATATATATATACACACACACATATATATATATATATATATATATATAGGGTTGGGCTCACGTGAGACCAAAAGTTTTTCGTGAGACCCGTAAGACTAATTTATGTTCATTGATCAACTTTATAAAGTAATGATCTAATGGTCTAAAGTTGCACGGTGACAATTTTGTGATTATTGAGAAGTCTTGTGGCAATTTTGTGATTATGAATGTTCAGATTGTATATCTAATCCAAGGGTTCAGAATTGGTCTTACGGGTCTCACGAAAAACCTTTGCTTTCACATGATCTCAATTATATATATATATATATATATATATATGGTATATTTCTTTTACAACCTTGTGTATTTGTACAACCCTTGCAACCCAATTAATTGAGATATTTATAGAAATGATGGGAGTTCATTTATTATGATTTGAATATTTATGGAATATGAATAGAATTCATTAATTATGATTAATACTTTATATTAGGAAACAATCAATACTTCTATGAAATCACATATTCATCAAATGAAATGGACGGTTGAGATTGTGTTGTATTGGTTGCACACATGTCAAGGATTGTATAATAATCAACCTCTCTCTCTCTCTCTCTCTCTCTCTCTCTCTATATATATATATATATATATATATATATATAACTTGGGATCATTAGAGACTAGCATGTTTTCATGAGACCCATGAGACCATTTTTTTACACTTGAAACTTCATAGAAAAACCCTGTGAAGGTGACCTTTACAGTGTTTTTGCTGTGAAGGTGACATTTACAGTGTTTTTGCTGTGAAGGTTCAAATTTTTTTTACCTTCACAATGTTTTGCTGTGAATTTCAAGCGTAAAAAAATGGTCTCACGGGTTTCACAAAAATAGGCTGCTCTCATGTGAACTCAACCATATATATATATATAGAGAGAGAGATAGAGAGAGAGAGAGAGAGAGAGAGAGGTGAGTTGTTATGCAACCCTTTATATTTGTACGACCAATACAACTCAATAGCGACCGTCCATTCAATTTGATTAATATGTGATTTCATAAAAGTTTTGATTGTTTCTTAATATAAAGTATTGATCATAATTAATGAACCATAGTCATCTTCCATAAATATTCGAATCATAATAAATAAACTCTCATCATTTCTATAAATATCTCAATTGATTAATTGCATTTGAAACGTCCTCTCTATATAGGTGTTTGAATACAATTATTGTCATTGTACAACATGTAAAACCAAATTCGAACCCTCAATCTACTCTAATAAATATTTTGCTTCATAAATGTTTTGATTTTTTCTAATATAAAATGTTGATCATAATTAATAAACTATAATTATCTTCCATAAATATGTCAATTGATAGGGTTGTATGAATTATAAACCAGCTTGTTTTCGTTATACCCGTGAGACCACTATTTTACGTTTGAAATTTCACAGTATGTTTGTTGTGAAGGTTCAGATTTTTTTACCTTCACAATGTTTTACTGTAAAGTTACAAGTATAAAAAAATGATCTTACGGGTCTCACAATAACAGTCAGATCTCAAATCAAACAAATTTTAGATTCCCATTTATCAAATTGTATTGCATCTCAAACTCAATTCAATATTCCAATTCAATCGAAGTAATGAATTGAGTTCATGGTTTCGTATATTTTGAATTCGATTAAACCAACATTTGATCGGTTGGCAAGTTAAAAGAACTCGAATTCATATAATATCAAACAACTTCAACTCGATTCCTGCTATGAAAAACTGGATTAAAATAAAATCTAATGTTATAAGTGTAAACATATGAGCATCTAAACCAATTAAGTTGAAAATATTATGGTTTCCTTCGAAAACTTCCAATTTGATGATCAAACGAATTAAGCATGGATTCCGATAATGATCAAACTGAACTGAAAAGAGTAAATCGCACAATCGAATTCCAATTCTGATCTTAATTTGGTCTGATTAGTAGGTGTTTTGTTTTTTTTTTCTTCTAAATAATTGAATTATTAACAATTAACTGTTACAAATTAATGTATCAATCTGGCACTTCTTCCATACATTATATGGTTCCTTAATAAAGACGATTGAAACCCTATATTTTATTTGAAGAAAGCATCATACACAAATCTGCAATCAACAAAATCTTACAACTCTTGAAGAATAGAGACTCTCAATGCTCTCTCATCGGTTAGAAATGCTTGGGGAATATGACCTACAATATCTTGAATCACCATGCCATTGATGTTGGAAACACTTGCATGATGAACCCTAATTTCTAGGCTTTTCATTGCATCCATCAGTCTGGCTGCCGGATGATTCACATCGGGTGATTGTACACGAATCACAGCTTCTGATCCAATTATTTTCACCTCCACTTCAGTTTCATGGATCCTGCAGTTGGTTGACAAAAGGGTTTCTGTCCTGGGTGCACCATCGTCCACATTGATATGCAAGTTATCGGCTTTCTCAGTTAAAGTTTCGATCTTGGACTTGAGTTCACCGATGTAGGTGACGGCATCAGCGAGTAATGAAGCTTTGTCCATCTTGGAAACGTATGGAACCACACTTCTGAGTGCATAGAATCGTTGGTTTAGCTTCTCCCTTCTTTGTCTTTCCATGTCAACGTATTTAGGGTTTACCTGATCAGTTGTGGTGTTCATCGTTTTTTGACTCTTCTTCTTCGGCATGTTGTCCCTAGTTGAAGTAGAAGGCCTTCCAACATCGAGTAGCAACCAGTCTGTCTGAGACTCGCACATCACTGTCTTTCCTTTACCTTCTTCATTGCCCTCACCAGAACTGTCCTTTTGAGTTCCTAATAGTTGGACTTGATGAAGAGGGTTTCCATTGATAGTAAGGTTAGTTTCAGAGCTAAAGAGGGACTTGGCTAGAGGGACCAGACCCCAATTCTCTTCTAATAGATTCGTGGAACCAAGCTCAACAACACCCCAAGAAGTTGCAATGCAAACCAAGGTTTTGATCCCACGCAAATAAGCCTCTTTAGCTCTCTGGCTGCCGTTCATTCCCAACTCATGGTCACCGGCTAACCACACAGAGGAACCAGAACCAAATGTGCCGCCAACGATGTCTTCTCCAAGAACATACGACCTCATAACCGACGCCATGATGAATTCTGATATTGTGTCAAGTTCATGCCCTTGATCAAGATTTGTTACATGAGATTGGTGGTGGCGTGTGTTGGAGATTGTTTGAGAGAGAAAATTCTTGGGACCTTTCAAGTAGCAATCACCGAAGGAAACAAGAAAGTGGGGATCGTTGCCTTTAGATGATTGCCAAAAGATGGCGTAATCCCACCATTCTTGACAGCTTTCCACCATATATTTTAGTCGTTGTTGAAGTAAAGATGGAGTTTCTTGTACCAACATTGGTACTGATGAAAATCCGTAAGTCACTGTTTCGTCCATGGCTTATATATATTTAGCTAGCTTCTGTTGACTGAATTATATATAAATATCAATATATATATATATATATATATATATATTATAGAAAGAGAGAGTGAGAGAGAGCAGAGAGAGAGAGGAGGGGGGCCTGTCACCTGTGCAAGAAGACACTCTTTGCTATTCAAGCAAACGAACAAGTATAAATAGAACGAAGACGTGTGGGATCATGGAAATATGAAACCTAATTAAGACTAAAAGACGAATACACACTCTAATTGATTATGAGACTAATTATAAGATATTTCGACTGTTCAGAATCAGCATATGTTCGGGAACATATGTATCAAAAACAAAATATACGAATTTTGCTGCCATTAATGTTTCCCTTCAAATTCACACCAAGAATTTTTCCCTTCTTAAGTTTGATGAAGATGACCAAATTTGCTATAGAATTGCGATTAAAATTCAAATATGACATATACTATAATACCTTTCATCAACTCAGATTCAAAGATCCGTACAGAAAACCTGCAATCGAGATGTAAACATGATGGCATATTAATTGAATGTAGAAACATCAATCTACACGTCTTTAAATTCCCCAATGTGAAAGTGTTGGTCAATAGAAACGTGATTTAAGTTTCTGTAACTATGCATATCCAAAGTCGACCTCAGGAGTCAATTAAAGATTGCTCAAAAACAAGTCAAGTTCATCAAACAATCCTTCAAGTCAATCAAGGGAAATTAGAGTGAATCTTTAAATAGGTTTAATTTGTTTTACAGAAATGAGAAAGAAATGGTTGTATTATTTTAATGAAATGATTACAACTCAGATATTTATACTGACCCAATATATACACTCTAATAATTTGTCAAAGAAATAATTTGCATTATTAAATTACCCCAACGGGTATGTCTTTTAGCCTCATCTGAGCCTCAGAATCTATGCCAATTTGTAGGGACATATACAGTAACCACCAATGGTGTGATAATAAAAGTTAAATGAGAAATGTGAGAAGGGAACTAGATATTTTTTTATCTTATTAATTGTGTTTGATACATGAATTAATTTGGTGCATCTTGTTACTGTTTGATTTTCAATTAGGATTAATACAAGGGTTGAGATTCCTTCTTACCTTTTTCATCATAACTTTCATTTTCAACGGAACTCAACCATATATATATATATATATATATATAGAGAGAGAGAGAGAGAGAGAGTTCATTTCAAATGCAACCCATCACATGTGTACAACCAATGCAACCCAATAGATTGAAATGTTTATGGAAATAATGAAAATTCATTTATTATGATTTGAATATTTATGGAAGATGAATAGAGTTCATTAATTATAATCAATACTTTATATTAGGAAACAAT